TCAAGCAGCGCAGTCGCTTGTACACAGAATCAAGGTTTTCTACTCATAGCTCAGGAGTGATTTGCGTAGGTGAGCATCGGGATGAAAATCGACTAGAACACAGAACACTCATTCTTTAGACTCAGCTCTGCTTTAGTCACAATGGTTCACGAGAGTTCCGGCAGGACCTCGTTGGACATTCTAATTCGCTGGTCGATTTCTTCCTCCCATTTTCCATCGCCAGTAAACACAGCTCCAAGGCACGTAAGCTCTAAGAGGTAAGTAAGCTTCTCCACCTGTCAACTGCTTCTCTTCTCCGTCTCTCTGAACAAAACGACAGGCGGGAGTACGAGAAGAAACTGAGCATTTCGTCTCAGGCTCTTTTTAGCTCACGTTAAACGAGTTGCACTCGGCTGTGAACTTCTTCAGAGAGTCTCGGAGATCAGTTTCAGAACATACCAGCAAAACAAGGTCGTCACAGCAGCCTTTCCTTTTCATTTTTCCTACGCTGATGCACCACACGTTCTGACAGTGCCTGACTATCCCATGCATGTACAGTACAAATAGGAGAGACGATAGAAAATTGTCTCGACTTACTGTCATTGATTTTGACACAGCATGTGCCATCAAAATATGGCAACTGGCAATTGAGCCTATGTTTTGGCAGCCACGCTTTCAGCGAAGGTCATTGGTTTTCTCAAGATCAGCGAAGCACATGTAGACCGGGCGAGAGACCACCCGCAATTTCTGAATAATTTCGCGTAAAGCGTAGGTCTCGTTGAGGACGTTTCAGCTTGAGTTGAAGCTACACAGCCACTATTGTACCTTATATTCAGTTATTAATATGCATCTCATTTCAGTGCATTCGCGTAGATTTTTCCTAGGATGCTAAATAAGGCAAAGCCCCAATAATTCGAGCATTTCTCATGGTATCCTTTCTTGAGCAGGTGTACTAGAATCCTACTTGTTCTGCCCACTGGTGTCTTCCCCGTAGTCATTGCAATTTCACAGAAAATTGTTAGATTAGCCACAACTTGCCTTTCACGCTTAAGTTTCCAGTGTTTCACGACAGACTCCATCGATTTCAGATTGTCACGTTTGAAGCTTTTCATG